TAAACAATATTTTTTATTACTTTTGTTATTGAGTGATAAATATATTTAATTTTGTTAAGATCCCATGGACCCCGCAGTGTAGCAAGTACGTGACTCTACAAAAAAATGACAAGTAAGGACATTCTTTCCACAAATGTCATATTATATTAATTTTAGTTATAGAGAAACTTGAATTTTCTCAGAGAATTATTTTAACGGATTTTGAGGCAAAAAATTTGATAAAAAATATACTTTTGAAGAGAAAGGTGCACTTGAAGTTTGAATAATTTTTTTTTCGAAAAAAACATACTTTTTAGCACCTTCTTGAGAATGTACGACACACGAGACGAGTGACGGCTGGGAAATCCAATTCACTGCTGTGAATTCACTATATATGTATTACATATACAATAAGTATGAATCTGCTCCAAGCCACAAAATACAACTATAAGCTTGATATGTGATTGTTGGTAAAAAAAAGTGGACCTAAGGTTTTTGACAGTTGGTTTCGCGAAAAAGTGGCTCACTTACGTTCTTAGAGGGTTTTTACTTTACGCGACCTGCTGACCGAAACTCTACGTGGGGTCCCTTTCCAATATACTTTAAAAAGCCCTTCGAGAGTGCGCCTTCACATCGATTTCTCGAGGAAAGATTGTGGTCTGACCGCTACTTGTCAACGTTCTCGTCACAAGTCGAGAAATCAAATCGCTACAGGCAAAATGTTTTCATAACAATAGATTCAGTGAAAGAAGATCTAGTTTCTTTGAATTATGTTCTTTCATTCGGATCAATTTTCAGTTTGTTCACAAAAAGAAAAAAGGAATAACAAAATCCAAAGGGAGAGACACAGGAAATTAAAAAAAAATTATTTATAAACCTATTATATATTGCTACTATTTTGATTTTAAAAAATTTTTAATGCACGGAAAATAATAATTAATAATTGATCTACGAAAGTTGGTAGAATTCTGCGTCTGAGCAAAAGCTGTATACAAACATTCTGCGCAGACGCAGAATACATCTACTGCCTATAACCTCTCGAAAGATTAAATTTATCCACACGGTGAAAGTGGGCTCTATCTAATGAAAATGTGCTTAATCAGGGTGTCTACAAAATTTCCCATTTCAAATTCCCGGTTTTTTCCAGGTTTTTTCCCGGTTTTAAGAAATTGAAGATTCTTCTTATTACATTATATTATAAAGTAGATACTGTCTTTAATTTTAATCAATTATTAATTATTTAATAATAATCATGAAAAATAAACTTTAAACAATTTTAAAAACATTAAAAAATATATTTTATACTTTTAATATATTACTATTTAATTGCCGAAGAATAGTTAAAAAACTTGAGAAAAAATTTATTAATTTCATTTTTTTCCCGGCTATTTCCCGGTTTTTTTTCATTTCCCGGTTTATCCCGGTTTTTTTCGTTTCCCGGCTATTTCCCGGTTTGTAGACACCCTGTTAATGCGATGAAATCTTTCAACCCTAATTTTACAATTTTCTCAAAACGCTGTCAATTGAAGATTTTGATTCTACGATTTTTTTAAATCTAAAGACGTAATACTTCGAAAATCCAGAAGAAAATCTGAAGTGTTTTGACTTTTGGTTTAATTTCTTTCAGGCGCACCGTGTATATGTATCACATAACCACAGAATCCTGGTGGTCTCTCTCTCTCTCTCTCTCTCTCTCTCTCTCGCTTTGGCTCTTCTCTCGTCCCCTCATCCTTTAGCAAAACGAGGGATGCTGTGTGACGTTTCATTGCAATGGAGGGGGATTTCAATGGTGATAGGGGTTGCTCCGCCTGCAGGCCAACCAGAGTTCCGGATCATGAGACTTTTGCCACACCCCAGGATCGTCCTGGCTTCCCTCGGGAACCCCCCGGTGCCATCCTCTTCTCAACAAGACTTTAGATCCTCTAGTCTGCCAAGAGCCAGCTGACACGGCGCAGCAGCAGCAGTGCTCTTCGTTTTCAGCCACAAAATTCCTCTCTCTCTTTCTCTCGGGCGTTTTCATTTCTTCGCGCCTTTAAAAAAAAGACTCTTCTCTTGCCTCGGCCTTATTTCCTCCTTGTGACAGCCACCCTTTTTTCATCCCCTCTCTCCCCTTTAACCATTTCGGGACGTTCTACACCCCCTGCTGTGATATCACGGCTCCATCGATCGTCTCTTCTTTTACTGACTCGCGATCATGGAACAACGACAGTCCATCATATTTTAGTGAATTTTAGAATTTTTTTCAATTTTATTTTTTTAATAATTGTCATCAATTTGACATTTGTTTTTTTTGTTAAATGTGTGATTATGTGATTGTTTTACTTTGTGTCTTATCAGTGAATTGAAACGGAGGAAATTATAGTTATCAATGAATTGCCTCGATCTTTCATTGCGAATTGGTGATTATAAGATGAGTGGTAAGTGAATGAGTTTCGAGGAATTTTTGTTCTTTACTATAGATGAAGCTATTATTTTATAATCAGTTTAGATTTTGTTGTAGTTTACTGTTTTTATTTATTTATTTTTAATTTATAACCAATAATTTCTGTATTAGAAATTTAAAATCAAATACCGTTTAATTAATTATAATAATTATAAAATTGAAGTACATTAATTTAAATGAAAAAAGTGATATTAAAATTTAAAAAATCAGTGCTGAATATTGTGAATAAATAGAATATTCTATAAAGCAAATAAATAAAAATATATATTGAAATATGTATACTTGTACTTTGAAACCAGGTTGAGAACAATGAGAATCATTCATAAGTAGTTTATCTTTTTGGAGGCGTACAATAATAGCTCATATATAGTTATAGGATCTTCCTATCGCAGGACGTCCTGTGCGGTTAGAATGCGGTTTTCTCCTCTGACACCTCTCTCTCTCGTCAATCCGTTTAATTAGGTCCGGTTTTCCAGACTACAATTACAGAGCAATAGTAAAATAGCCGAGCAGATAACATTCTTCCTTCCTATAATATTTTATTCTTAATTTTTACTTCCTACTACAGATTTAGATAAATTATTTTCTCTAAATTTGAATTACAGTTTAAAATAAGAAAGATAGCAAAAGGTCAGCTACTGATTCAAATAGTACTATTTAATTAACATTTATTTACTACCAATCTTTTAGTTAACAATAACTAATTATTAGTAAAATTCACTTTCAGGTTATGTTAAAATAATAAAAAGGCAACTAAGTCAATTAGTTTTAACTAAATTAGTTACTTTTTACTAATAATTAGTTATTTTTTACTAAATGCTAAAGCAAAAAGTGAGCCAAGACTTTACTAACAATTAGTTATTTTTAAATATAATTTAGATTTAAGAAAGAATAATTATATGAAATTTTATCCTGAGTTATTTGATTCCCACGAAAACATTCTCAGACGCTAATCGCCCTTTTCCACTTCGCTCTAATCAGTTAACTGTATACCATATCATAGACTCTCGAGTGAATGCTATATATATCGAAATGGTATACACAATACATGGTTATATATAATGTATATGAATTCCCCATTCTCGGGGACGGTTCATGCACCCACTTGTCTTTCAGGAGTCAAACAGTCGTTGGAGGGTTTCTAAATATTGTTGTAATGGCAGATATACTCTCGACACTCGCCGTTCATGTCGAACAAACCCTCAACCGGATCAGCTCAATTCTTTACGACAACGACGTCTCTTTAACTTCTCTCAATGAATATCCGCGGGTTGTTTGCTCACGAGATTAGGACATATACTGACTTTAACTTCTTCAGTCAACAGATCGCATTTCTGATTCATAATTGAATTCGCTTCTATAAAAAAAACACTTTTAAGGGATGATTTAAGAGAGGATTTGATTAGATTAGATTACATTTATTTAATAAATAATTTTCAGCAATCAAAGACTTGATTATTTGAATTTACTAGCAGTACAAGTAACAAACAAAATTGTCCGTCTGTCGGTAATACAGAAATCTAACTAAAATTTTTTTAGTCTAATTCAAAAGAAAATAGTCGTGGCATTCAGTTTAAATCTCAAATAAACGAATGCTACAAAAGCGTTGAATATGCAACTTACAATTTTCGAGAAACAATATCGGGATTGTAGTAAGACGTCGTCTAGTCAAAAAGAAACTAAAATTAAGTTACCTTTTTTACTAATAGATAGTTATTTTTTACCAATTGCCAAAGCAAAATGTCATTTTACTAAAAATTAATTATTTTCAACTAATTCAGATTTAGAGAGTAAATAAGACATACAAGAAAATTTGGATATAAAAAATTATGTCCACTGTCATTTCCGGGATGATTCGAGTATAATTTAATGCTTTGCGTGCATGAAAAATACCGCCGACTTCTATTATATATATAGGGCTTATAAAACTTTTGGCTTATCATTCTAAACATCCTCAGCTGAGGTGTCACTAGACATTTACAAACTGTTATCCTCGTTGAAAACATTCAGTCAAGAGATAATCCCAGATACGTCCTGAAGGCCACTTATTGTGTGTCTAGGATTTCGTATATGTATATATATATATAGTGTCATAAAATCGAATAAAGAACCGCAAACAAAGTGTGGCATTGCTGTGATAAAAGCTCCGCAATTTTTGTTCCTTTTCTCATACTCATCTTCATATATATATACAATATACGAAGTGTGAGAAAATGTTCAGTTTTTTTTCTTTTGATATATACGAATATTATATACTATTTAACATTACGATTATCTCAAAGTTAACATAAACTAAAAAAAGAAATTTAAAATTTTTTAAAAATTAAAGCGGGGTCTGTATTTATTACACGGATAAAGAAAAAAAACACAATATTGTTTACACTTTTACACTTACGTTTGAGAGTAAGTGAAAGTGAAAGTGTGAGTGTAACTACGCGAAGCATCCCTGGTACTGTTGAAATATTAGAAAAAATAATAATGGGAAATGGAAAAGTTTTGGAAATTTTCTACGCGATTGAAATTGACTTGTGATAAAGTGTAGAATGATAAGAAGTTTTTCCCTTCTTTTTTTTTGCAGGAAGCAGCGACGAAGGCGAGACAGCAAGTGGAACGGGAGGCGGAGCGGATGCCTGTGGGGGCGGAAGCGAAAACGCAGAAATGGAGGAAAATAACTTTTCGCAATCCTATACGGGCAACAATAATCCCATTTTTCGCGACCTTAAGCCCCTGCACGCAACCAGTGCGCACGACTTGTCACAGGATTATTCTTGTGCTCGATCAGCACATCAGAATAATTTTCCTTCACCAATAATTGAAAGATCGCCTATCAAAAAAGAAGCCACATCCGAGGAACGTGAAGATGAACGCAAATCCTGGGATTTTAGTATGAAAAGTCTTGATTATACGAGATTTGTCAAAAAAGAGTCATATCAAAATGAATACCGTGAGTTTAAAAAAAAAATTTTCTTATATTCTTCTTGTAAAAAAAAATACTTTTGAATTACCAACTCTGTCAAATGAAAATTTGATAAAATTTAAAATCAATAAAAAGATAATTCGTTTGATAGAAAATTGAATTTTCGAAATTTCGTAATTCGGTTAAATTCATGCAACGTAATTTTTGCTTTTTTGAGATAAATTTGATTTTTTTTTACATTTGTAGCTGTTGTGATAAAACAAGAGCCCTTGGATCAGAAAGAATTAATTAGTCGTGATTGGATATCGCCTGTACCGGAAGTTGAAATTGGAGGCTCAGGTCATGGAGGTCCGTTTGTTCGAGCACGAAAGGATATTCCCAGGGGAGCGAGATTTGGTCCATTTCGAGGAAAGTGGGCCAGCCAACCCTTTAATCCTCGTTACGCGTGGGAGGTGAGTAAATGTTTATTGAAATTAATTTTATACGTTTTAACTGTTCCGTTTCGAGAATGAGAGAAACGATTTATTAGAGAAAAAGATAAAATCGGAATCGATTTAAAAACCGGAAGAAAAACGAAATGTAATAATAATTGGCGAGAACGGAGAAGGATTCACACACACGCGCGCGTTTTTCTATAATTCCGATATCATCTCAAAATCGGGGACGAGAACGAAACCGTTTGAAAAATGATCGATCTGTTTATAACCAGGGAAGGTAGAAAAATGCTCGGTTCCTTTTTTTTCGCACACACATACAGCGAATGAATGTTGAATTTCCTATCCTATAGCTTTTAATCCCCGGTATTATCCGGCAGATGCCGAGGACACAGAGTCGTCTCTTGTAGATGCGACGACAGCGGCCACCTGGTCGTTCGTTCGTCTGAGGTGTCATCGCGCTGACAGATCTGTCAATTGGCCCTGGACACCTACCTCTCAATTCCGAAATTCTCGCGCTTCCTTATATATATATGCGTCTATTCTCTTCGAAGCGCACTCAAAACGGAAAAAGAGTCCGAAAACTTTTACCCATGATCTTTCGTGTCTTTTTCTTCTCGGACACTTGGGGCGACATTCTTACCCAAATCGATTTCAAGGTCCACTGCCTTTTCTTTCTTGAAAAATTTTTCTTTATGACAATAATATTCTCCTAACCTTCAATTTTTAATAATTTCACGAAAAAAAAATATTTTTCAACAATTTTTTTCTCCTACAAAATTAAAGGAAATTATTTTTAAATTTAAATAATTAATTAAATTATTTCAATTTTTAAAAAAATTATCTTAAAAGAAAAAAAAAAGAGAATTTTTTTAATTTTAAAAGAATTGAAAATATTTGAATTCAAAAAATAGATAAAAATTCAAACAAGGATTCATAGTTGCTGGCAGTTCAAAATTTGATGAAATCTTTAATTTTCAGTTTATTTTATTCTATGTGTGTGTATGGGTGAAAATTTGGAAAATGTGAAAAATTGCCTTTGGCAGGACAATTTTTGATATATATATATATATAATTCTCGTGCCAAAATGTTTCAGGCGCGTGGGGGTTGATAGATCGCCCGACGAAACGAAGGGGTAGTTTGCTTTAATCTATCCTGTAATCGCCGGTCGACAGTTGGCCCGATTGCCTTTTTGTCGGCATTAGATGGATGGTGCCATTTACATTTTGTCAGTGCGACATGCGCTCGCGCTATCATATCTATCACCCTTGACCAAAACGCGAAAAACCGTTTCGCAATTTTGTCCCGTTTTTCTTTTTTACTTCGTTTCCAATATTCAAAAAATCCAATCTAAAAATCACAGGTAAAAAAATGAAAAAGAAATTTTTAAAAATGTTTTTAATTTTTAAATAAAATTTTTATTTTTAAAAACAACTTTATTCAAAAATTGAAAAAACTAATTTTTAAACAATAGGCAAATAATTAAATAAAATAGGTCCAAAATTATTGTATTACACAATATTTCAAAAATCCGAATTTCCCCCCAAGTGATTTTTGTTCCCAAGATGAAGAATCGTTTGATAAAAAAAGAAAAAAAAATCAACTCCCTTTTTTTGGGCCCTAATCCTTTTCTCATATTGCACAAGATCTTGGAGATGAATGAAGAAGCGATAGAGGTGGCAGGTAAACCGAATTTTTGCCCTAAATTCGATGTTTATTCATACCATCGAATCGATCCTTACTTATGTTGTGAAAAAAAGATGAGGGTATACCTTTAGTTTGGGATATCGGTATTACCCCACCTGCTGTGATTTTGGGTTTGGTTTTTTTTCTATATTCTGAGGGATTCGTATCAAAAAAAAAATTTTTAAATAAGGGATTGGTGAGCGAGGGAGGGGGAGAATCGAGAGAACAGGAAAACGAACTCTTCCGGGTGCGTTTATAGCTTCGGTGACGCGTAATCGCACGATATGCGGCGTGCTTTCGTGGCTGTTAAACCAATCTGAGGCTTAAGTTCATTCGCGCGGAATCTCACACCCCTCGATGTATAGACACGATACTAGCAGTCTCTAACCAATTTGCCAAATAATTTCAACGACCTCTTTTGGGGGCTCAAATGATCAATCCGATGAGTCTGGCACGCGATTCTATCTTCTCTTTAAAAAAAAAGAAATTAATCGTGTTTTACCGCACTTTGTCATACATTTGAAAGATTTCAAATAAAGACAAAAAATCAATTTTTTGTCATCCATTTTCGATAAATGATTAATCTTTTTTAAAATTAATATAATATCGGAAACAATAATTTAAAATTTAACCTACTAACCTATAAAAAGGTTAAAATTGCAATAAAATGAATAATATGAATAATTACAAAGGTAAAAATGTGTAAGGCATTTTGTCGACTTCTCTTCTCATTTTTTCAAGTAAATATTTCCTATAGCATTTTAAATGGTGCTCTAAATGAATGGTAAAACTTGAAAGGATGCTTAAAGACTCGTTTTGAACTTCGAAGATCAGAAAAGCAGCTCCGGAGTTGAAAGATTGATTTTATGCCCGTGACTCTTTATTATTTCTCTCCTCCTTTCGCAATTTTTTATTTATTTATTTTTTTTATTTGTCCTTCAACGTGTCGTTCTCGATTTTTTCGCCATTCTTCTATTCTTCGTGCTCATAACTTTTTCTAAAAGTTGTTGTTACAGTGTTATACAACATTTCAGTAATACTGAATTCACTTCGCTTTTCGAATCGAAAACCGAATTTGTTTTATTTTTTATTTAAATGTTGATAGAGAAATTAAATTTCTAAAAAAATAAATTTGTATATTATAAGAAACAATAAGAATTTTTCGAAACGAATATATAAATTCTTTTGAATACAGAATTTTTTTTGTGCGTATGTGTAGAATATAAATCTGAAGGTAATGATTGGGGGAGGGTGAGTGGCATAAAAAGAGGGAGCAAGCACGCGTCGCCTATACGTATATTTTTTTGCCAAATCGTGTGGAAAGCTTCGTTTATATATATATATACAAACCATCGTTATAACGTATGCCACTGACAAATTATATAAATGCGGTGAATTTTGACAAAAGGCGCGCGGACTAAACTTGCGGTGATAATGGTTTTTGCACTTCAAAGAACATCGCACAATATTCTGTCATCGAAAAATTTGGAGAAAAAAAAATTAACGATCTTGTATTACAACTGGACTATGAGATAGTTTTTCTTTCAATTCATCACGAGGGAAAATGTTAATACGTATGTATTTTCAAAGAATTTACAAAAATGAACCATATTGTTAAAAATTTCCCAAATTATGAGAATATTAATTTTTTTAAAAAACATTGCTCCGCTGATTGAATTTTTTTTATTTAACTTTTTATACTTCTTTTAAAGAAAAAGAATTCCCACGTGATATATTGAAAAAGGAAGAGATGTAATAAAATCCTTCACCTTGAAATAATGATAAAATTAGATTGAAAGCTGCGACGCAGTTATATATACATATATATATATATATATTATATTGTGGTGCTTTTATGCGATGGACAATGTCCAGCCATGTCAGGGCGTTTCAGAGGCGGTCAACCCCCGGAAGCAAATCGACAATGCGAATATTATGTGCCAGGTAAGCTTGCGTATATATATATATGTATTTTTCCTTGGAGTACATATATATATACCTAAACAATAATACACTCTCGCACAATCAGTCAACGGATATATTATACTATTATTATAAAGTGAACAGGAGGACCCTTTTTCTAAGGTGTGGATCGGTTAGATTAAATCGATATTTAAAAGCCGAACGAGAGGTCGTAAGGCGTTTTTCGTTCTCAAGGCGTAGGGTTACGGACAGCCTCTGGCTCATGATCTCTCTGACCTTCGGGATTTCGCGTATTAAAATTTTTTTAAAGGATTCTTCAAGGGGCAAAGGAATTCCGCGAGAATCAGCAGGAAACAAGTGACAATCAAAACCGCGGGGATCTTTTTTCTTTTATTGTTCTGTCGTACGTTGACAACCTTATTTTCGAATGTCAAGAGATCGGTCATTTTTCTCAGGGTCACATTTTCTGAAATAAATTTTTATTTTTAACTACAATGGAAAAAAAATTATTTGATTCTATAAATACTTGATTATTATCAAAATGAAATATTTATTTAAGGCAAATAATTTTTATTTGAATTAAAGAAACTGTTAATTTAATTAATTGATTATTCACGACTACAGAAAAATTATTTGCTGCCACAAAATTGTTTCTCTGCTATAGCAAATTATTCGCTACAACATAAATTTTACTAGAGTAGTGAATAAGAAAATAATTGCATTTGTAATTTTTGAATATTCATTATGAGGGTAAATATTTGCGAAGATACAAGCCTGGGAAGATGAAGAGAACCTGCAGTGTAGAATGACAAATTTGAAACGAGTAATATGCGACTTGGTGATCACACACGCATCGTATATAATAGAGTGAAAGTTTTTAACAAAATGGTTTATGCACCGACGAACCCTGGGTGTCCAACTAACTAGACCTTTTTTCAAGATCGAGTTTTTGATTGACAGTTTTACCTCGGCATCGTGAGTTACCTTCTCGCATTATGGTAATAAAGATATGATACCTTTGAATGACTTTATAAATACAGTCAGACCGTGTATATTTTGACATTTAAATTTACTTTTTTTGTATCCGACAAACTTTCAAGTGAGAGACAGAGAGCCACAAAAACCCCTTTTTTGTCGTCCCAATAATCGTTGCACTTGTCCCGAAAAACTTGTTTTGTATTTTCGTGAAACAAGATTATTGTTATATCATTTCAGTTAGATTTACACTGAAATTCAATCATATTTCACCAACAATTAGTAGAATTCTTTATTGATTGAAATAGTCAAATCTGAATTATCATTAATCGGTAAAGCAGTGAAACAATCAAATCTGGATTACAAAGTTTAGAAAATGAAAAACTGATATTGCGAGTGGAGATAAACCTGTTAAACAAGAGATTGATAATTT